CCAAACCGGAAATTGAACTTATGTAAATTACACTCAACTATGAAAATGTGTCTGAACTATTTTTAAAAACTTGAAGTCTAGTCAGTTTACAATGTTATGTCAATTTCTAGTGTACAGTATAATGTTTCAATCATACATATACACACATATATTCCTTTCCATATTCTTTTTCATTATAGTTTGCTACAAGATATTCAATATTTTCAATTAAATATCTAGTTCCCTGTGCTATGTAGTGGGAACTTGTTTGTCTATTTTATATATAGTAGTTAATATCTGCAAATCTCAAACTCCCAATTTACCCCTTCCCACCCCGCTCCCCACTGGTAATCATAAGTTTGTTTTCTATGTCTCTGAGTCTGTTTTGTAATAAGTTCATTTGTGTCTTTTTTTAGATTCCACATATGCATGATATCATATGGTATTTTTCTTTCTCTTTCCCTGTCTGACATCACTTAGTATGACAAACACCAGGTCCATCCATGTTGCTGCAAATGGCATTGTTTCATTCTTCTTTATGGCTGAGTAGTATTCCATTGTATAGTTATACCACAACTTCTTTATCCAGCCATCTGAACCATTTTTTAAACTTACAAAGAACAAAATTAGAATACAAGAGAAGAGAGTCAGCAAATGAAAGGAAATGCAGAAAAACATCTGGAACAGAAAAACATGGCTGGGTGCAAAGACCCTCACATACACAGGGCCGTAATTGCATTCTACAGAGGACACTGCCACCATCATCTCCCTTCTAGGTGATTTGTCACCCTCAGTGATCCCAGTCCCTGGTATTCACATTCTGGTATAATCCCCTCCCACAATGCAGTGGGGTCACCTCCGTGATCAACAGGATGTGGCAGAAGTGGTGGCATGTCACTTCCGAGGCAAGGTTGTAAAGGACCCTGGTTTCTACCTCTCTCTCTTGAATTGCTTGCCCTGAGGGAAACCAGTTGCTGTGTTGAGAGGCCTACATGGCCAGGAACTGGGACCTCTGCTAAGAGCCTTGTGAGCTGCCATCCTGGAAGTGGAGTCTGCCCTGGCCAAGCTTTCAGATGGTTGCAGCCTGGCTGAGAGTGTAACCTCAAGAGAGAATCGGAGCTGAAACCATCCAGATAAGCTGCTCTTGACTTTCCGAAATGGTGTGAGATAATAGTTATTTGTTGTTTTAAGCCACTAAATCATGGGCAATTTGTAATGCATCCATAGACTACTAATGAACTACCTGAATAATTTGTGACTCTAACAATTTCCTAAAAGAACTGAGCTGGAAAGAGACAACTGGTTTCACTACATGTGCAGAAGCAGTTTGCTGGACACTCTCTGAAGTTCTGGACATCAGTATAGCAAGACTAACATCTCATAGAAGACTAACACAATGGCTTAGAAAAAACCTCAGAACAGTATCACTTCCTTTGGGACCTCTTTTTCTTTTTGTCACTTCCCTCATTTATAGCAATGAGTTCCCCTTCAGCAAGTTCCTCTGGTTGCAAATCTAGAGCCTCTTGAATGGTGGCAGTGTTGGTTGGCATCCTCCACCCCTCACGCCCCACCCCCAGCTATTTCCATTTATGTTCAATTAGAATTTCACTTCTAGCATTATTACTTTTTTTTTGCTGCAATTTCATCTTTGCTGGTCAATTTCCCATTAATTTTCCTCTTCCTTTTTTTTTTATGTAAAATGTAATGTGGCTTTGTGTGATAGTCTGACTGCACGTTTGATGTTTGACTGAGAACAGCTTTCAAGCTCCACCAGTCTTCCTTCCCCTTCTGGTTGGCGTCTGGGCAAACGGCTATGAAAACCCAGGTGCTCCCTCCTCTGGCTCTGGAGGGAACTTCAAACCACACAAGCATCTGCATGTGCATTGGAGTCCATACTTCAGTCCCATGCCTTAACTGTAATAAAACCTCTATGGCAGTCTCTCCCCTGTTCTTTCAAGCCATTTGTGGACCTGCTTGGGAGCATCCTTGTTCACTCCAGACAGCCTCACTCTGTGAGTAATAAACCTCTTTATACCCTCTTTGTGCATGTGGCAGGTCATCAGTTTTGACATCCAAAACAAATTTTACATGTGGAATCCATTTCATATCTTTGGGTTTATGTCAAAGATAAACACTGCTGGACAAAGGTTAAAGCAATGAAAACAGATTTTATTCAGTAACTACTGACAGTAAGGGTAAGAGCTGCCCTCCACCCGGATTCATGCAGAGGTGTCTAGCCTCTTTAAAAGGAGAGTGAGGGCGAGGCAAGCAGGGGCTTGAGTCAGAGAAGTGATAAATTAGAGAGTTGGTCAGTGTAAATGCAGTTAGGCCGGCTGTGTGTGCTATCGGTCTGCAATTATTGAAGTTAGCTTTCTATCCCACAGAAATTGGAAGACAGAGTCTCTGTTCCTTCTGATGACTAATTCTAAAGGCTTTCATGTCCTTGAGAGAGACACTTTTGAGTTGTGGGAGATTCGTGTACTTCTTGAAGGAACAGAAGAAGGATTCATAATTGTAAGTCCATTTTAGTAAATGCTCTATGAAAGGGAGGTCACGGGCCTATTATTAGGTGTAAGCTGGAAGTAACAGTAAATTCTGACATCATTTTAATGGGGTGCGTGTGTGTCTGCGCACGGGAAGGCATGGTAGAAGGATGGGTGTCAGGGGATTCATCCCAGGGATGTGGCCTTATGCTAGAGTTTGGTTGTCTCTCTGCAGAGGTCTGGATGGAGTCACTGCATCCCAGGAGTTTTGCAGTTCTTAGTAACCACAACAGTTCATCACTGGGAGGCAAACAGCCCAGACAACTATGACTGATTGCTGTTTCTGCCCGAATTGAGTAACAGATTTGCTGTGACCAATCCTCAACAGACTTTGAAAGAAATTATATGATTGGCCATTGATCACGATATCATGTATTATTCCTGCTGTGATTTGTAGACTGGAGAGCTAGCAGCCAAGTTTGTAGTACTTTAGGGGATTCCTCACAGTTAATATAAAGTGGGAATTGAAATTTGATTTGTATTGTTGGGGGAGTAGTGTTACGTAACTAAACCATGTTGGAAGAAATTCATGCACATCTGAGCCCTGCGAAAGATTGCTTGTACAGTGCTGCCACATTTTATGAGAATGTAAATTGTGCAAATTTAAAATGATATGAATAAATATTTGAAAGTTGTATGTTCTGCACAGTTTAAAATAATGCAATTCTCTTAATATTTAAAATAATTGTGGGGAGTCACAGCATTTCAAAACTCTCTTGAACAGCAAATTGAGGCAGTATTTGTTATTACTATACAGGTTCACCTTTAATACACAAGATTTAATTCTATCACGTGTCAGTCTCCTATAAAAGTTGTGTATGTGCTTTGAAAGTTTTCTAAATGATCTGCTGACTTGTGCTGCTATTTTAAAGTGATGTTAAAATTCAAAAAAAAGTTTTTTTTAACCAACTAACCATAATATTCATTTAGGACTGGTGTTAAAGCTTGTGCTGTGAAACATGCCTGAACATTGACAAATCTGGATGGGAATTTTGTTTTCTGATAAAATTGGATTTTGACACACTGTGCAGTTGGATTGGTAGAGAACAGTCTGGAATGCTCAGAAAGTATGAAATAGAATTAAAACAAAATTTCTCTATCTTCTTTGGAGATTTATGCTCTTTTTTAGAATGTACTTCCTACATTTATTCCAGTGGGAAAATTAGTACTTGATTTTTTAGTGAATCAAGTGAATCTTGCCATGTCTACACTTATACTTTCCTCATATCACTACTGTATTTTATAATATGTGGGTTTTGTTGAATCCTGGTTTGAAAAAACAGCTTCAAAGACTTAACAAAACCTCTGTAACGGACACTCCTGGGATGATCAGAGAAATCTGAATATGGACTTGGTATTAGATGCTTTGTATGGAATTACTGTTAATTTTATAGGTGTGATAAGTGTATTGTGATTATGTAAGAGTATGTCCTTCCTCTTAGAAGATGCATGCTGACACACTTAGGAGTGAAGTTTCAACACGAAGACACGCCTAGATAAAGCAAATAGGGCAAAATATTAACAGCTATTAACTCTAGATGAGGTATGTTTGCTGACCGAATTCTTTCAAATTTTCTGTTTGTTTGAAATGTTCGATAAGGAAGAGCTGGAAATACATTGACCACGAAAATGTTTATATTGTTTACCAAGTACTTAAGGCTTGAAAATCCCATTTTTGTAAAACGTCAGAAGGTTGTGCACTGCTACCTAAGGGGGAGGAGGCTGTGTGTGACAGTCTTTACTTTGTGTGTATTTTTATTCATCTACAATTTTTGTGTATTACAAATAATCATCGCATTTTCTCCTGACTACTGTTGCCAACATCGCCAGCACTAAGCTGCTGTGCCTTCTTGGGAGAAGCCCTGATATCGCGTGGTTTGTTTTATTTTAAATGTTTGCACCGCGGTCTCTCCTCCGGGCTTTCGCGGCGTCAGGTTCTGGGCTAGCTTCACACGAGTGGGTTCGGGTCCCGCCGCCAACTCCGGGGCGGGGCGGAAGCGCAGGGGCAGGGCGGGCTCCCGCCGCGGAGCCCGAACGGGA